TCAAGTCGACATTGATTCTTCTATTGACTTTACGATACTATTTCATTTAACATGATGTAGAGTACGCAATTGACCTGTACAGTACTTGCCATCTAATATTTAAGTTACTGCTTTTATTATTTTCAGAAAGCACGGCAACAATCCATCAACCCTAAAAGGACGAAAGCGTGGTGACTTAAGAGCGCAATCGAACGCGACTTCAATAAAAGAGCCTCTTGCCATACCAAGCAACCCTCTTTTTGATTGACACATTGATAGTGGTATCACTACAGCGACGTTGACGCAGGGACTACCTCGCGGGAAAATGGCACCTAGATTCTTTATGAGGCTAATTTTTGGGCATAATTTCACTCACGCTGACAAGATTATTTTCGGAAAAAAGTAAATCTACCCGGCGTTGCTGCGGAGCAGTTGCAGATTTCACAGAGCGACCTCTACGGAAAAAGCCCCCTCCAGCCGCCGGAGGATAAGTTGGCGATACTGCACGCGGATCAGGCCTTTGCAGAGATCTTTGCGGAACTCCAGAAACACGACGTCTTGCTCCTGGTGTCACTGCTGCTCCTGCTGCTGGGCCTGAATTGGCTGGTTGTGCCGCCTCTGCAGCCATTCTAGCTGCACGTATCTAAACGAGTTACATACAATTATTAGAGATTTTTCTTTACAAAAATGCTTCATTTGTAAGAATTTCTCCATTTCTGGGAACTAATCATCGCTCTTGGTCAATCCCTTCAATAAAAAAACTAACCGCGGCGAAATCTGGACGTGGTATTTGTAACATACGTTGAAGGTGCTTTGCTATATCTGCCATGGAATAGCGGTCATTCGGGTTCTCTGACCAACATCTCACCTGTAGCAGAGATTTACGTGTAGAAATCTAATTGTTAGAAATAGCCTTTGAAATACCGTACTTTAATAATATTTTGGACATCTGGAGGAACGTTCATAGGAAGTTCCATTCTGTATCCCTCTTTAACCTAAACTTAGTTGCTATAAGTAAATATCAGTATTTTACATCTACATAAACGAACATTTTGGTTAACTTCTGCAACTGTCATACCGGGATATGGCTCAATACCATTATTGTAAATTTCCCAACACATGATTCCTAAGATGCTATACTGAATATGTATAGGCTTCAATGTCTTATCTTACCATAACTGAAAACGTCAGTTTTCTGTGTGTAAATGGCCATTTTTAGTGTTTCAGGAGCAAGCCAACGGATGGGAACACGTTTGTGTGGGTCCATTTGGTAAACGGTACCTTCCCGTGTTAGACCAAAGTCAGAAATTTTCACCTATATACGTTGAGATAGTGATGATCAGGTTCTTGTCAAAGCTCAAGACCTTATTATCGCCATAAAGACAATTTCTTGCAGCTATATCTCTATGCAGCACATTTTTCGCGTGAAG